GCTGTGCCCCGCGGCGGGGTGAGGGGGCCGGGGGGGGCTTTCCCCGGCGAGCAGCGGCCTTCCCGGCCCCGCTTCAGGGCCGAGGGGCGGCGGCGGCCGTGTGGCGCTCCCCGGGGCACCCGCCGGACCGGGCCTCACGGTAGCTCCCTCCCGGGTACCCGAGTGGGGCCGGGCTCCCTGCTGCCCTCCGGCGAGCGGGGTGCTGCCTGCCCGCCCCAAGGGTTTGATAAACCAACAGGTCGATGCGGGGAGCTCGACGTCTCTGTGACTACAATTAAGCTTCAATAATTCCCGCGAGGCCCGTGATGGTTTTGTGTTTGGCACCAGTGGGACGTTGACGCTGGGCCAAATACATTTCCACAGCAGCCAGCCTGTGTTGGTTGCTTGTCTAAAACAAAGTATGTTGTCCTAGGAGGGCACAGATGGAGGTTCCTGCTAAAACTGCTCAGCACGGTGATGTCTCGGGGCAGCGGCAACAAGAGACTGGGTGCTACTCAGCTGTTGCAGCTGTTCCTGGAAAGCACATGGGCACCAGTAGAAGTGTCAAAAAATCAGACCAATTTTATCTGTTCCCAGGTGGCAAAGTATTGTAGATAGTCTTAATGAAACCACTATTAGTGGTGATACTGGAATAGCCAACACTACAATAGTGAGCAGCTCTTGAAAAGAGTAATTTTGAGTATGTTCTTCGATATAAAAGTGGTTGTGGAAATGAAACATTTCTTTACATCTTACTTCTTTACCCTTTTCCATCTCCAAGTGGTTTGCGGTCACCAGTGGAAGCAACTAGAACTGGTAACCCCTGTTCTTGCTTTGCTTGGTGTTCAGCGTGTTCCTCCTCTGTGTAGCTATAAATGTTTCCTAGTTTGTCTAGGAAACATTTGGCTAGTCATGGTTCGATGAGCATCTCTGATACCAGACTAAAGAATGAAACTAGGAAGGAAGTATGTAGTAAACCTCAGGTAGCAACTTAATCCTTTTTTTAAAGCACCGTGTTTATTAAATATCACCAGAGCCCTGAAGGTATTCTCATAGTTGGATATTGACAGTTCAACAGGCCCATGAAAGACTATGTTGGAAGAAATAGAAGAACTCTGCCTGCCAGAAATCTGGGTTATCACCTTTCTCACACGGCTCAAAAGCATGCTTACCTAAAATCCCAGATTTCCCGTGGAGTAGTGATCCCTAGCTACATCAGTTCTCTTGTGTCCTATTAGTACGTGCAGCATACCCACAACTCCTTAAAATGGTGCCAGCCTTGTTAGATCACTTCTCTCTAACCAAAAAAACATTTCTAATCAGGAGTGTTTGGTCATCGTGATAAATAACCTTACACCGAGTATGTTCTGTAAGAGAGGAGTCTACAGAAGAAGCGTTCATCATTGCTATCAAGGAGCTTGCTGACTAGCTTCTCTTCCAGATTAAATCTGCTATGAAGTCCTTTAATATTGCCTTGGTTGAGTGTTGAGACATATGAGCCACTGTACATACGTATTTGATGAAGCAACCTTGAAACAATATTAGATATCTGGAACATGAAGTACTTTCTATAAGCAAGAAGTATATTCTGAAAATACTTTTTGTTTTTCCCTGTTGGCAGCACATACAAAATGTTATGCATAGCATTTCACATGAGAACTTTTTCTGAGCAGGAGAATTTTGGCTAAAGTCGCTTCTAGTATTTTTGTTAGGGGGAAAAAAAATACAGTATTATTTTAAAGCTTAATAACTACTTGTTAATAGAAAATTGAAAGCACACTACAGGAATTTTAACACAACATGAGGATCTAGTTGAGTTCTCTATGGATTTCTAAGAGTTTCTCTTGTTCAGTATCTTTATTCTCTTAAAAGACAGAAGAGGCATGTATTTTTTTAAGATCTTATCCACAGAAAAAAATCATTCTTTTATAGTAGCTCACCACACAGGGCAGGTGGAGGCTATAAGAATTCTAATAGAAATGAGTTTCATGAGTAGCATGATGACTATTTTTGTTACTCAGTGTAAAGCCAAGTAAGCTTTGGACAAATGCCTATTATCTAAGTAGGTTAAGGAGATTTTGATACTCATCACTAACTTTGCCAAATAAAACACATATTAATCTAACCTGGATGTGGCTTTGGACTTCCATGCTTAGGTATGAGTTGGATCTGTTCCCTGGAATCTCATTCTTAAATAGATAATACAGAAGTAAATGTGTAGTGTAACAGTATGTTGAATACGGGAACATATAAATGGATTTGCTCAGTAGTGGATTTGACTGAAATATATATTTAATGGAACAAAACTCTCTTTGCATAGAGGTCAACTTTTAATGAAGTTCTTTCTCTTTCATTTAAGGCTAACTACTTTTCTAAATTTTCAAAAGCTCCAGTAATATGCAAATTAGTTGGAAGAAAAGTTCTTGATGGAGTTGGTCAGCCAACATTAGAAGTGGAAATATACTGTACAGTAAAGAACTATGAGAAGGTATGAGCTGCTTCTTCCTGTTTTGTTTAATAAGGCAATATCAGGGAGAGGTACTGTTCTGCTCATGTCTTAAGGAACATTTTATTTTTCATCTTTAATGAAAGGATATGAATCTCTGTGACTTAACAGTTGAGTGTTGTAAATTAGAAAAAAACTGGAGTGTTAGTGGCAGCAACTATAAAAACTTTTATTTTCCATGTATTAGACAATACTCATGAGTGGGAAGTGACAGTACATCTTCGTACATTACATTTTTATTTGTCTTAATAGTCATGTAGCTTTTCCTTATACCCCATATCTAGCCCTGTAAGTTGATTTTTCTTTTACATTTTTCTTTTTTTTTTTTTAATTTATTTTCAGATCCTTATATTTGTATAATAGCGTTTCAGAAAAATATAGTGTGTGTGAAAAACACAGTATAGGTGAAGGTAGTTTTTTACACTGAGCTAAGAGGCTGATGTGGGTGATAGTTTAGTCAAACAAATCCATCTAGCACCTTCAATCCGAAATTCATGATACATTGCCATCTCTTCCCCTACCTGAAATATCCAAGATACTGCCTTTTGCAAATGTAGCTATTGTGGCATAATTCTTTCTACTTCCCCTCAGTTAAACTATGGTTCACTTCATTCTTGAATTAAATATAATTTCATGGATATTCACAGTATATAAATAGTATTAATAGTAATACTGTTAATGCAGGCAACTGTGATATTTGTAAATGGTGTCTTCATTAAATGATTTTTCTTAAGTATTGTTTATTCTTCAGGAGTACAGAAAGACAAGTTGTAAATTACCTACATAAGACCAAGTGTAACTGATCCCGAGGGATGGCATTAAGCATGAATGCTGACCAATCATGGTACAACAGGCTACCAACAACTGCAATAAAAAGATGTCCTAATGACCTCATGGTCTTTAAAATAACGCCATTCTATTTTGATAACAAAATATATGTGTAAAGCGGATCTGTCAGAAGGTTTTTGCCTAAGTAGTTACAATTTAGGTCAAGAAACTTGAATAACATCTGTGATTACCAAAGTATAATAGACTAGGAAGAAGGTGTTGGATGAAAAAAGAGAAGTGGAGCAAACAGTAGATGTGGAGATAGGTGCTTGTAGAGTTGGTAAGGACTTATACTTCTTAGCCTTTCAAATGACATTTCCAAGTTAGAAATTAAATAGTTTTTTAAGCTTTTTTTGCTTTTTTGCAGAGGATTTGTTCCACTGTAATGTCTTCTCATTCTCATATACCTGAAAATGCTTTACCTGAAACAACTGAAGCTGATGAGAAAGAAAGAAATGACTCTGTAAACTCTGCTGTGGAATGGGTCAACGAATCACTGAACATGATGTTAAGAGGCTTGAAACCTACTGACCAGTGTAAAGTTGATAAGATTCTTGGGTAGGTCTTGCATATTATGCAAATTATTGCATTTGAAATATGCACCATTAATTTATATTGTAAATGAAAAACATATGAAATTGTCAGCGTTTTCTACTATTATTTTTATATATTTTTAGGATGTGATGTCAGTCTCAGATACATCGCACTATATTATTTCCTGCGTTTTTCATAATTATGACATGAAAATCATGCTGTTTTTTATAAAATTTCATACATGGGGAAACAAAAATAAGGGTCTCTAAGAAAAAAATACCTGAACACCTCCATAAGTCAAAGGCTCCATTCAAGAAACTCATTCAGTGCCAGTTTATTTCATTGGGGATGCTTTTTCAGTCTGCAACTTCTGTTCATTGCACTGCAGAACAAAAGTGGTACAAAAGGCCTGTGTGTGTGTCTTCCGCACTGAGCTAATCCACAGAAGACGTGTATACATACAGTTTTCATGTTCTGATGAAGTCTTTCTGAGCAAGCTACTCCAAAAGACTTCTTGCTTGGGGCAGTTAGTTTCTTTGGAAACAGTTTCTTTAGTAAACATCCATGTTTATTTTTTCATATAAATATTTCTTCCTGGGAGTATCCCAAAGTAAAACAGAATGCCCATATTTTTCCATTCTCTGCCACACTCTGCACAGACTGTAGCAGACAGACCTAATTGCCTTTTGCATGGATTAGCTTTGGGGAAACCTTGATGAAGGGAATAAAAACAATTGGAAAGAAATTCTTCCAACTGAAGTGAGTGTAAATAAGATTTTAATGAATTGTTTACTTTATATATCTTACTCAGTTTGCCTGCATCGGGTGGCTGTGACCCATGTATGCAGTTCCCATTTTACTCATGTAATTGAAATTCAGCCACTTCTGAACTTGCAGCCACTGAGATAACCAGAGTACAGCTGACCTATCAGATTAGCAAACTGTTGTATGTCATGAAGTTATGACAGGACCCGTTACTACCCGTGCAATGCAAATACATCCTTTACGCCAGGATTGACTGCTCAGAGATGAATTTCAAACCAGTGTGGTTTGAAGAGCGTGTGTTAACATTTATAATACTTGCTCATGGTTCTTTTTGTTTAATCAACGATGCAGATGACTACCAAAAAAAAATGTCATTCATTGACTTCACCTTCACACAGTGAGTATATGGCAGAAGCTCAGATGCCCTTAATCCACCTTTTAGCATGTTCTTTAGCCTGTATCCCATATCTTCTTGTCACATGTCTAACAATATTTTGAGCCAGTAATCATTATGACTCTTCCCTCAGTGAATACTTTACAAAAAAGGTAGAAGAAAGAAAAGAAGTTCAAAAGCAAGAAGAAGAAGAAGCCATGCTTGCCCTTACTTCATGCACTCCATCAGCAACATCACTACATGGGAAAAAAAAATCAGCAAAACCAGGTTTTACTTTATATGATTTTAATATTTTCTGCAATACAGGTATTGATAAAGGTGCTGAAATACTTTCTGAAGTATTCTGTGGACACTGAATACTTCCGAACACATGACACAATGTCTCACATTCAAAGGGTTTGGTTACTCTCTCCTAAATCATCTTTCTGACCACAGCAGTTTCTGCTGCAGAAATGAGAGAGGGGGAAAATAGCATCATTCACATGCATTGGCTGAACAGAGTTTCTGTCTTTGTTCTACATTTGGCTTAGACAGGAGGTTATTACTCTTCAGAGTGAGGAATAAGAATGGAGGAGGATGCAGTGAAGAATAAAAATGAAAATGTTAAGGAACAAAAAGGGAATCACATAACTGAACAAGAAAATGGAAATAGAATTGAGATAGAAGTTGAAAAGAATGGAAGGAGAGAGGAAGTTTCTTGCTAATACTGAGAAAAGGAGGAAATAACGTGAAAAGCAAAAGAGAAAGAAGTAAGGGGGTGAGATGGGAATGATAGGCACTACAGAGTAAAAAGTAAGGAAACCATCCTACTAAAGCAAAAAATGTTGTGAGAGTAGAGAAACAGCATAAGTATACATGACCAAAATAAAAAAAAAAAAATCACAAAGGAAAAAAACCCCATATGTTACCTCCATAGATGCATTACACTCAGGGGAAAAAAAAAAAAAAAAAAAAAAAAAAAAAAAAAAAAAAAAAAAGCAGCTTTGTTATCATTTATTGTAAGGGCAGAAAATCTAGGCAAATTATTATTTCTTACCAGTTTAGTTTCAACTGTCACATGCTATTAGTAAAACCTCCCAATTAATATGTTAGATGTGTGCCCAGTAAATTCACCTTTGACCTGAAATGTAACATCTGCCGTTGTCAGGTTCATCCACCTATCATCATGTTGTATATTATACTTTTAGTCAAGCTTTTGCTGTTACATATATTACTTGTTTTCACTAATTGTATTTTCTTTATACTTGATTATGACATTGGCTGTAATATTGTTAGAATCGATACCTGATGATTAGGAGACAACTATTATAAAGCTACTTATTACAGAAGGCCACTAAGAGATGATGACTTCCAGTAGCAGGTGTTTTCAGAGGTAGCATCTATGTTACAATTTATGCAGGCTGGAAAGTAGCGTAGTGTAAAGGATCTCTGCAGTTTGTCAGAGTTGCTCCCTACTCGATTACTAGTGTCTGCGTGTGTAGCTCTTTATCCTCAGTGTAAGGGGTAAAGAATCTGTGGACAGTATGCAAATGATGTATAATCTAATCTGCATATCCAATTAAGGTGCATTAAGAACATTTTATCATAAAATATCAGTTGTATCCTGTAGTATTTATGTGTTATTGAAATCAAAACTTGTATAACACTACTATTAGGAATGAAAGTAGTTGGTCAGATTTACAAAAAAAGTGCCCAATGCATATGATTCTTGAGAATCAGATGGCTTCTTTTGGTTTCACACAGGTGCCTACTGTGCATGTTCGTGTAAGCACTGTAGGCAATAAATAAGCTAGTGGGAACTGCTGGGTTTCAGGCATTTTGACAAAAGTTACTGTATCTGAAAGAAATAAGTTCTTTCAAAAATTTAACAATAGTATGTATGTGGAATATTTAAAGACCTGTTTTCTCAATGGAAAATCCAACTGCAATAGGCCTAATTTTTTCACGGTCATTATTAGAAGAAATCCAGTATCGGGTTGGAATGTAATCTTCCAAGTTGTTTATGCAATGGCTGAGCATGTAAGGAGGATGATAAAGAATACTGAAATCATGCTTATGAAAGGAACCTGAAAAATGATGTAACATTACTAGATATAAACATAGATAAATAAAAATACAGATTTCAGTGGCTGGAAGATCTCCAAAAGAAATAGATTTGAAATATGTTTGACACCAGAGTGAGGACAGATACATTGATTACTTGTAAGGTTATGTCATATAAAGCAACTGACAAGGTTAAGTTTTTTAAAAAATAACTGATACTTGTGTAATACATCGATTACATATGGAAATGACAATATCATATTTACTCATATAGCTGCAATACATAAGCACATGTCTTAAACCAAGAAACTATTTAGCTACTACTCTCTGTCTTGTAGGAAAGAAGGTGGCAGTTGCAGAGAGAGCGATCCCATGTGCAGAACCTGCTGAGTCAGTGCTTCAGGGCAGCGTAGCCATCGGGGGGACGTCACTTGCTGTAGCTAAGGCTGGTGCCACCATTAGCCATATCCCATTGTATTTACATATTGCACTGCTGAAACGTGATCAGGTACATGTGACTTTTGTAATTTTATTTGATCCCAGTTATCATAATTCTTGAATTCTGAAGCCAGTAGTCCCTTGTGACAGTGGTATTAAATATACCTCATAGAATACACCCTTAAGACCATTGCCTATAGTAGTCTTTGAACCCTGTGCCATAATTAAAACATATAAGAAATTCTTCTGATTTTTAATATTTTTATTTTCACATGGTACTCCCAATTGCAGGATTCGCCTAAAGAAATGACTCTCCCACTCCCAATGGTTACTCTATTGAACTGTGAAAAAATTTCACCTGCAAAACTGAGATTAGTGAAAGAAGTTATGCTTATACCACCAGTTCAGCTATCACTCAAACAGGTACTGTTTCATTTTCATTTTTATCAATGTATTCTCTAGACTTATGTACCATATATGTACATAAGTATATAGATCTTTTCAATATAGTCCTTACAAACTGTATTTTTCATTTTTGTTTGCTTGCAATGCCATAGTCTTAATAAATGTTAGGGCAGAATTCTAACACAAGGAACATTAAAAGGAGTAAATAGATGAAGACTTTAAAGACGATACATGAAGATTTCAAGCTTTAAAAGAATGTGTTTGTATAGAGGAAAAAAATCAGTGTATGGAAGAAGATGTAGGGGAATTGTGTTAACAATAAGAGATTTTAACTTTATAATGTGATTTTACATTAGTAGATTATGAATAGTATCAGTTGAATGACAGCACACAAAACAGCAAAACTTGTAACAAATTCACAGGAAAACATAAAATCTTTGGGAATAAATTGCTTTAAAAATGAAATCGTGAAGATAGAAAGGAATATAAAGCCAAACAAAATCCATTCAAGGGGCAAGAAGGATGGATGAGACAGATTGGATCAACCCTCTCTTTTTGTTTAGCCATTAAAGAATGTATCTGCACAAGATGCCTACATTAGGGCTGTGATTCCTACTTTGTATGCTGGTGACCTGAACAAATAGCTGAGCTCGATTCTCTTTCTTTTTCCTTTTCCTTTAGCTTTTTACAATTGTCACCGAGAGCTTTTAATAAGGTTGCTAATTCTGTACCTTTCAGAGACATAATGCCTCCTAGTGCTCATGGGAGAGCAGCAAGCTGTTTGCTGCAGTGCACAAAATGTAGCCATTCCTCCTGTGTTGATGTGTTCTCAGCTGTGACTGACTTCTGCCCCCTTCAGTATTCCTTTACTGGCACAGTTTAAGAAAATCTGAAATGTCATTTACAAAGTTAGCATTAAACTTCTACTAACTCAGACGAAAAGGAAAAAGAGTCTTGCGTTAAAAGCAATCGATTCAGTTAATTGGAGTGTGCCTCCATTCCCTGACGTTTAAAATGAAGACAGTGATTTTTCCTTGCTTCCTGGAAATGTTCTAAAGGGAAATACATTGAATTTTGTCAGTTCCAGTTCGGAAGACATAGACAGAGACACAGTTGTGAACAGTGATTCCCACTTCTCAGATATTAGGCAGACAATTTGCTTACCTGTTAAATTTGGGAAGAGTTCCTTCTGGGGAAGAAGAGACCACTTTTCTTGCCATCCCATTCAGCACAATCAAATATTCCTGTTCATTCCACTGCTACTAACCCTTATCATTGGACACTTGACTGCATTTTGTGGGTGGGGGAATTGTGTTAAGGGAGTCTGTAAGAGGTTTTTTAAAAATTCTCTATATTAAGATCTGTGTTTAGAATAAGTGTTCTCTCCTGATTTAAGCTGCTAAAATGAAATCATTTATCTTTCTTTTGAAGATTACTGTCATTTAATTTCAGGGCATAGAAAGAGTTCTGGATATTCAGAAAGAAATGATGAGACTGTTGCAGCCTCCAGGCGAAGCGGTACAATAAAAATGCGTAATAATAATGTGATGTTCTTTATATTACTATTGTCTTTTTAAGCATAAACATGGAACTTTTAGCCGATTGCCAGGCTTAGCCTTATGGAACAGAATAGAAGATGTGTTTCTCTATCATATGAATAAAACATTGGCCATTTGATGATATTAAATTAATGATGATAGAAGAAAACATTGTTCTAAGCATAGCAAGACTGTTTACCTGAAGAAGTATACTGGGAGTGAATGGTACCAGTGAATATATAATAGGTGGTTCTGGTCTTGCTAAGTCTCACACACAGGCAACAGATATTATTCAAGGTACTGTAGTAATCTATCTGTCTCAGTATGTGCATATGCTTTTTGCAAAGCAAGATTGTTGGGTTTCTCCAAGTACAGAGCCTAGATTCTCATTTTTGAGATCCCTTGTATTTTTGATAGCCTAGGTGAGAATATTTTGGAAAACAAATGATGGTTGGGGTGATGCCTGCATTGAAATAAACATTTGAAATTAATTACTAGCACAAAATAAAAATGGATAGTTGCTGATAATATTCAAGACCAATAGAAACCATTTCCTAACTTAAATATTTGCAACCTCTTTAGACCAAAATTCAGACAGCATTTTTTAATTTTTCTTAATTCTGATGTTTCGCTATAATTTTTGGACTTTTCTATGGAATTGATTTCTTCTTTCACTCCCAACAGCCCTGTTCTCAAGTAGCAGACAGTAAGAAAGGCAGAGCACATAATACAGGGAAGAAAGCTCCGGTAAGAAAAGACTTTCATTTTAAGCCTTCAGCAAGGTATTAACATCGGCAGGGAACCAACATGTTCCTAAATGAAACATTAATCTACATTACCATTTTGGAAAGGTCAAAGCAAGACTTTTAAATATTCCAAATGCTCATATTTTACATAATAATTTGGATTCTTCTGACTATACCTTCCCTTCCCGTGGGACAATAACAAAGGGAAAATTCTTTTGGAATCTGGCCATTTTTTGCATATAGAAATCCTGGTAAATTATCTAAATGAGCATTTTGCAGGCCTGTAGCACCAGCAGAGAACATGCCGCTTTGATCATGTAAGCCATGAAACTATTACCTATAAGACTTGCATGATGTGCTGTTTCCTAACTCCCCTCCTAATCACACTGCATTAAGTTCCCAGTTCTTGTTTGAGGTTGTAGATAATGGCAGATATGAACCACTAGCTAAAGGGCAGCACTCACAATAGTCCACAGGACATTATGACTCAAATGATCTTTTTTTATCACTTCAAAACCTGTAGTTTATAGATGAGTTTTCCAGATAGTGGAATGGAAATGCCATGCTGGTTTTGCTTTCCATTCTGAGATGATTAAAATGTTACCAGGTGAGAATTTTTGCTCTTGAGGAATACATAAAAGAGAGGATAAACAAAAGTTTTTCTATTTTTTTGTTGCTTAAACAACACAAAATTCATCATCATTAAGCAACTGGCCAATTTTCTTCTGGTGGGTAATTTCCATATTCTTATCACAATATGTACTACAGCTGCAAATTGAAGTAATTCCTTAAGATATGCACAAGGAAACAGTGCATTAGGTTCTCTGAAAAAATTCCATTTATTTCAATAGCAGAAAACTAAAGGAGATGGTAGTGAGACTGATGAAAGCACCATGTTAGTTTGAACTTTTTTTGGGGAAAACAAAAACCCAAAAATTACAAAGTAGGCAGTGAAGAAGAACTTGTTTAGGTTATAGAAGTAAAGACTAGACAGAAAAAATGTTTTTATAAAGATAAACAACACTTTTAGTAGAATGTAACAAGGCAACACATATGGGTGCCTTGAAAAAAATGACATGAAAATGCAGATTTAACCTCTATCTCACGTTAAATGCAGGAAGACTGCAGCATTTCATGCTGTCTGTAGCTGCAGCTTAGTGCTCCAAAACCAACAAGTCAAACAGATTTTCTCTCCTTGCAGATTGCTACAAAATAATCTCATAATAATTTGACCTGCATTTTCTCCCTAGTTTTTTACATGAAGAAACATTCATATATCCTCTGTAGCTAGGCCTCTGTTCTGTCCACTGTAGTTAGTTCTCTAACTCTTGTCAAAACCAGTGCCTTCCAATTGACTTCTCCAGTCTAACCCGGGATTATATCCTGCTGCTTTCTGGGCGAGTTAGTGTCATTCCTTGTAAGACAAAATTCACAGACTTTAAAGTTAAAAATCAGTGTTTGAAAAACCTACAAAAAACTTGACAACAGAAGACCATGTGAAATATTTGCTCAACACAGCTCTGCTTGTGGCTCATGTCCAGGAACAGTGTTCCTGAGGCAGATGACTCCATGCAGCTGTGCTAGAGGTGTTTCCCTTCCATGAAATTTTTTTCTTCTAGAAGTCTTGGAAGAGTCTAGTGGTTCTTGAACACTCCACAGAGGCAATATCAAAGTTGTAGTTGAGGATAAATGAGTAAAAGCTGTTTAAAACTGGAGAATATGTTTTTGTGGCAAAGGGACTGTCCACAGTATTGGAAACTTTTACATAGCATCCATGACAACTCAGTGGTTGTTAAGAGTTCCTTTAAAATCTTTTTGTAGACCAGTACTGGCCATATAAGAGCAAGAACCACAAGATGAAATATTTCCAAGGACTGTGTGGTTTCTACCTATTAGCACTTGATTACCTCTCATGTATAGAGGATTGTCCTTAAAGTTGTCAATGTGATTTCTGAGAGCAGATGTATATTTTGATGACTGAATGCATACTGAAACAGCAGAGAAGATATGTATTTAGAATTTATATGCATGTGTGTAAATAGTTACTATTTTTGTTTTACTTTCAGCCACGAGCCTTAAAGAGGATATCACACTTAGGTTGCCTAATAACAGGGTGCGATAATCTAGAACAACTGCTACTCCTAATGCAGACAGTTTGCAACAATATAGGTCTGGAGCTAGGAACAGACATGCACCTAGCAATAAATTGTGCTGCTCATGAATTAATGGATTATGTAAGTTATTTTCAATATCGATTTTGTCGGGTTTCAAAAGGAATGTAGCTGTTTGTTAACGTTATTATTACATTGCTAACTCACCTAGAAGCTTCTAACCCCATTTTAAAAGGCAGCAATCAAGCAAACCAAAAGATTTGCCTCTGCATTTACAAGTTATGGTTGAATCAGTACTACAAGTGTAGCAGATATGTTACTGGATTGTGAATGCAAGGGCACAAGACATGCAGGCAACCTTCTGGAGGTTGGTGCAGCGGGAACAGGGCGAACACACATACTCCTCCTCCCCAGCGGTACCAGCACGCTGGGGCTGCACCTTCCCCACAGTAAGGCTCACTGGACCATGGCAGAGCCCCATAACATCCTGTGTCCTGCCTACAGGAATCTGTTACTTTCATGATTTAACTTTAATCATTCAAATGCTATAAGCCTACCTGCATCAGCCAGGTTTATTCCTTTTCTCAGTTTATTTATTTAATATAATTTTTCAGATCAGTCTGTGTCAATTATAGCAAACTCATTTTGGGGCAGACACCCACCACATGCTCTATTTAACAGACCAGCTTTATTTCACATTGCACCTCAGGCAATTTTGAATTAAAGTACTAAGTAGAAAATCCTGTTTTGTTTTTTAATTTCACCACAAGGTATAAATGAAATAATTATTTTCTATCCACCTTTCTTTCAAGGATGAAGAAGAAATTATTTACACACATGCGCTTCTGTAATTCCTTCATACCACTAGATGCCTACTTCTCCATTATATCACACTGCACCTGTTGTTTTTTCATACTACCTTGACCTTTCTGTGTATTTTTACTATGATATGTTTGTATACCCACTAACATTCATCTCCTTGTATATCAACATTTATTTTTTAATTCTTATTTTTCCATATTTTTATTTGACAACATTTATTTCTCTCCAGCTGAAATCTTCAGTGAAGTTCTTGATCTTGTTCCAAGATCAATCAGGTTCTTTCTAAGCAGAAAAAGAAAATTCCAATTATATTTAATATCCCATGAGATTTTGTGTATTTGGGTGTACTATAGTGACAAACCTTCCATTACTGTTATCTTTTGTGAAAGCAGTTGCTTTCCTGACAATCTGGTATCTGTATCCTGTACCAGAATAAGTAAAATCTTAACCAATAAATTATTGGTAATTCTTTAGCTTTCTGTTATTGAATTGTTACAAAAGTCACTAAAGCAGCAAATATTTTAGCTCAGTTTGACAGTGTGCCCTTAATAATCCTCATACACTCTGGTTTGTGCTTCCCAGAACGATGTTTTAAACTAGTCTTTTTTTTTGAAAGGGGAAAGAGGCAAGGAAAGGCAGTATCTCAGTTTTGAGCACTGAGGGTGCACTCCTTTCCCCTAGCAGTATTTTCTTCCTGAAATGAGGACAAAAGATTAGCTTTTTTTAGAAGTGAAAAGTGAGATTTTTCATGCAAGATTCAATAAAAATGGCAGACATAGCTAACTTTATGATAAAGTAGTGTAACACTGGCATTGATGCCTAGAAAATGCTAAAATAGATCTCCCTTGTTTTGGGAGTGGCATCTTTCAGACTGGCATGAGCCCACTGGAACCCACTGTTACTTCAGGCAGAGTTTTCTGCAACAATGTGCTGACCACTTAGACACAGAGCAAAGTAGACAAGTGAATGTATGCTTATTGAAGAGCACACAATCCACCGCCTTCACAGAGATATCAGTGTCACAGGATTTGTATGCTTATGTTAGTACTCTGGGGTTTCAAGTATTACCTTCCTTACCTTTCATGCTTTTTACTTTCCTTTCTAGGTTAAAGGAAAATATGAAATACTCACTGGAACATTCAAAAGTCCTGATGAAATGGTTGACATGTATGTGGAACTGATTAATAAATTCCCTTTTATTATGGCATTAATAGATCCCTTAAGAAAAGAGGTAAGATACCACAGTGCAGTCATTGAAAAATGGATAATAATGTTAGGTGACAAATTATTGAAATTTTTACATTTTTACAAAACATATAAAGTATGAAACTTCTGTTTTCAGAATCTTTAAGCACAAAAATATCACTATAAAAAGGTATTTAATAATTCATTTGTATGTCTGTAATTGACAATAACTAAATTTTTCTATACGTTTGACATAATTCCTACAGAAATAATCCTGGCATGAACAGAATATGGTCAGTACAAATATTTTAAGGAGTTACAGGAAAACACTTTTTTTCCTGATTCTACTTGCTAAACTACTGTCATTTTTATTACATTTTTCTTCCTATGTAAACAGCTCAAATTGTAAAATCCAATTATAAAATTCAAGTGATATATAAATTCAATTCTATTACATGAGAGAAGCTATAATTTGGACATAGTTGTATATTCCTTAGAATCACTCAAAAAAAAAATATTGCTGCTATTCTCTATGATTGAGATTTATACTCAAAGCCAGAACAAACCTGTCACTGGCAGCATTGCTCAGCAGAATTTTTAAAGTGGTAGTAAGATACCATGTATTTACTGCCGTGATCAAAGTTAGAAGAGTTAATTGAGTGGCCTATAGGTTACAACAGTAAAGTACAATACTATTAAGCATGTTATCAAGTTCTAGATGGATGAAAGAAACAGATTGCTTAACTTTAAATATTAGCATTTATATGTAAGATTAAGTTTCTATGTAATAGAAAAATTATAAAAACTTAATTGTAGCAGAATCTACAATTGTAGACCTAGATTCTGCAGTTGTACAACTTAATATAAATTTGCTCTTACTGTCAAATTGCACACTTTATCTTCTTTAAAATAAATATATGGGATTTGTTTTCATGAACAAAACATGAAGACTGTGATTGAAGGGGGAAGCAAAGTGATGTTGTCTTTGTGAATCTGCCAAGTGCCTGAATCAAAAATTCTAAAACAGACGAACTGCAAAATCCATCTGATTTTATTCTTAACTGGAACGTTAAAAGTTCATTTTCTAAATATCCGTGTTTACTGTTAGCTCACTGTAGTCAGCCATGCCTCCCTGCGCTGCTTCAGTCCGACTCCCTGAATTAGCCATGTCCCAGAACATCAGATTATTCCCCACTTCTGCCACAGCTGCAAACTTCCTTGAGAATTCTTACGAAGAAACGTATTTGTACTGTGAAAATCTGCAGGAGAATTACAACGGATAGCGAATTACAGTTTGAAATAGAATACTGTTTAGGGAAATGCCCCCCGCCCCCCCAAGCTACAAAGTTTACCCATGCCACGTTTTTGCCACAGATAATTAGGTCCTTGAGGATTAGCCCTGGTACCAATTCATTGCCAGACAGCAGACCACATTAGTGCTTAAGTTTAAAGATTTGTTCAGGTGTCAGAAACTTCCATTTTCACTTACATGTGGGCTTAAAATCCTCATAGCAGTGGACCCTTATACAAATTGCAGCTATAAGTACAAAAGTCTGTCTGATCCACAGACCAAGAATTATTACTGGGAGAATTATTAATGAGAAATCAAACGTTTTTAATGTGAGAATCTTGCATTCTCTGGACACAAAAAAAGCAAATTAATTCATAAATTTCTTCTTTCAAATTGTTTACATATCCTTGTCCTTTATTTATCCTTCAGTCTCAGTACCATATGGACAGTGCAGTAAAATCAAGAAACAAAGACCCTAAAACAGGAGCTTTGCTGGAAAGAGCGTTGTATTCTGCTGTTCCTTATGGGTCAGTCTCACAGCTCTGATCATCCTGGCTTGATAGCTGTCACTGAGTCTATGACTGCCTCCTGTTTCATTATTTTATATTCAAACAAATATTATGACACTTAAAATATTACCACAAGAATGAATCCTCTGAATAAAATAGAAAATTATTTTATATTCCATTAAAATTAAATAAATGTCAGGAAGGAAATCAAAATATCAAACTCCTGCAGTTGATTTAATTTGAAATACTTTAAACTATACTTGTATGCAACTACCTTTGATTAACTCCAGATTAGAATTTATGTTTTCTAGCAAAATCTTAAAATCCAAACAAAATTCCAGTGGTATGTTTTTCTTAGGTAGACAGATTTAAAATACAGTATAAAATATAATATGTTTATATGAAGAGTACCTTTAGGATAAAATCCAATTTTATTTTTGTTTTAATCTCCTCAATTAGGGTTTTATTCAGTTCAGGTATTTGAACTCCAGTTGTTTACTTGATTGTTTATGCAGGACAGACAACAATGGAGTAATATATGTTGTGCTCTTGGTTCCAAATGTTACCTGATTGCTGAAGATGCTGCCACATATATTTCCAAACTTAAAATTGACCAGAACATAAATGTACCAATGTGCAGTGGTGTTGTCCTAAAATATATTAACCAAACCAAGGTATCAGACCTCATAGAACTTACTGGACTTCTGGACGGTGAGTAAGAGGGGGGGAAAAGTCTGACTTTCAAACCCTACAAGTCACTAAATAGTGTTGCTACACCTGTAAATACTACATTTTTTCATTTAATTATTGCCACTTGTAATTTAGAAAGCGCTTGTGAGAAGAAACTAAAATTCATGTTTTGATTCACAAATCTCTGTTCAGGAGCTTAAAATGGCATTCAGGACCTCAACTCTAGTAAATTAATACACTGTGGATGTTTTGAATGTGGGTGCCCTTTGACACTGCAGCTAAGTGTTGTACAGTTAGATATCAGAATTAAACAAACTCAAAAAATATGTAGTTGAGTAATCTGAATTTTGACTAATACTAGTATTAATAATTAAGAAATCCAAACAAGTCCAAAATGTTTAAAATTGCAGTTTACGTAGATTATTGACTACATATTATTGAGCCTTTGTGGTAACAGTACTAAGAACTTGTGCAGTTGCATATGTAAGTTTTCTCTTTGTATCAATTTTTCTTTATTCATTTTTATACCCAAGGAATAGATGGTCAAATTTAATATATCTAAGTTCCTTCCTTATTCCTTCAAAAAGCTCAGAATCACTGTATCAAAGTGGGTAAATAGCAACTTAAAGAATGCATTCAGTCAGGATGGCAAACTCTTTTTTTATACGAAGAAAAATCATTACTGTAGTAAGGAACACACTTGAAATAAATAGACCAGCCTCCTAGCCTGTAGAGTACATTACCAGAGACATCAGCAAGAGACAGAAATTAGGATAGGATGTTAGATATTCCCTTATCCATACTGAAAATAAAACATAATGGTAATGTAGCTAATTAATATAGCTTACATTTTTGTGAGATGGGTCTCACTGGTTTTACTCCTGTTTGTATTTAAGCTTAGATAGCCCAAGGGTAAAAAAGAATGAAAAGTCAAAACAATTTCTGTGTCGAATATATAAAATATACACTAATGAAGGTTTTACACTCCCGTTATATATAGGTCAAAGACATATTACCATATTAGGAAGTCCAGATGGAGAATCTTCTGATGATAGCCTTGTGGATCTGGTAAGTATTGAAAGCTGTTCAATTGCAGAATTGCCAAAACACTGCTTTTAACATCAACTATTTTTAAGGAGAAAGCCTGTTTCTGCTGGAGAAAGAAACGTTTTACAAAATGGGCTTTTTCTAGAGTTGCTTTTTTTCCCCACTGAGAGTTAATCTTTGAGTTTAAAGAGAACACACAGGAAATTTGCCAGAGCTGGGAGTATGTGTATGATCTATTTGGTTGCATTAGTTTATAAAAAAAATGCGTTACTTAAAACATTTCTGAGTAGTAATAATATTTTAGGCAAAAATTCTTAACACTAATGTATTTAGTCTTTTTGTATTAAAGCTACATTTGCAAATAAAATTTCATTTCATACGCCAGTGAAAATTATTGTTTGCATCCGACAAATCTTTCATTAAGAGATTTTATTTCTACTTAGAGGAGGGTTTTTATCTGTAGAAAGATGAGAGTATTAAATTAGAAGCAGGATACCATGTTTAATAATGAAGAATGACTTCACTTCCCAAACCGTGTAGTTTTTAAAATACGCACTTTCTCGTTTAAGGCTGTTGGACTGGGTGCCAGGTTTATCAAGTTGGGAGGTCTTTCCCGCGGAGAAAGGGTGACCAAATACAACCGCCTTCTTGCTATAGAGGAAGAACTGGCCAAGAATAGAACGCTACGTATGAGCTTCTTTCTTACTTTGTTTTCAGCTTGCAATGAATACGAGAACAAAGATTGGAGGGAGAATGATTGAAACTGCACCACAGGAGGGAAGCGAAATCAAAAGACTATAAATAAGCGCTGACAAAAAAAACCTAGGATAGCACTTGCCACAATGTATATTGTTGTCCTAATGGATTATCTGTTTACTGAATGTTAAAATAGACCCCTTCTTGAGGAGTAGCCTACATTAAGCTTTTTTTCCAGAATTAATTGGTTGGAGTCTTGAAGCCCACAGTGCAAAAGGAACAAAACAAAACCCACGCATATAACACACGGAAAACCTGCCAAAACGGAATTTTAGGCCAAATACCCCACCTCCCTCGAGCCCCTAAACATACATTGCTAACAAAACTTCATTTCACAACCCTCCTTTGTGTGTTAACATTTCCAGCAAAATGTGTTTGGAAAGCTGCAATTGCATGAGTAAGCACTAAAACCCCAGAAAAAACGAAGTTGACCGATGCACATTCAGCCTTAGCCACTTGTATGCATCTGCCTGCATTTCAGGATCTGCATCTTTTTTTTACACTATATGCTACACTGTTAAATGCTTAACAGTTCATTAGAGCCACTTCTCACACGCTCAGGTATCAATCAAGACAGAATGGAGGCATACAGGCTGAACGGGAGGCAGGGAGACAAGGGGAGGAAGAAAGGAAGGAAAGGGTTTGCAAGAATTTATTATGCCTAAGAAAAAGAAGCATGAAGGAGAATTAAGTCATTTTACCCTCTTGATTCTAATAATTTTCAATGTTCTATACAGAGGGTAGCAGCACTTGACATGCACACTATAGAGCAAAGTTTTTATTTTAACAAAAATTCTGTTGAAAATATTCTGAATTTTCAAAACCTCCCCCTCACTCATATATAATCGTTATACAAAATAAAAACATAGAAATTATTTTTGCCAAGAAAAAGTAGTTTCACAGTACGCACTCTTCAAAAACAATACAGGTAATTATAGAACTATGAATTTTAACTGCCTCAGCAGTATAAATATATTCCCTATTCAAATGGTATCATCTAAACAGAAGAGCTCGAGTTTACCAAATATTTAAACCTGTATCTTGTAACATGAAACAGCAACAATTCCCGAAGCTGTTAATCGTTTGGCAGAAATAAAATCCAATAACTCAATCAACAGCAGGGAAATACTGAGACAGCGCGTCTGAGCTGCATCCCAAGCTCCTCATTTGGCGGGGCCGCGAGCTGCGGCCGCAGCTCG